GTTAGCCAGGATGGTCTCGATCTCCTGACCTCGTGATCCGCCTGTCTCGGCCTCCCAAAGTGCTGGGATTACAGGCTTGAGCCACCGCGCCCGGCCAGCTGTCCTTCCTTTCTTGTGCTGATTGTTCCCAAATGCCCTGCCCACAGTGGAAGCTGTGTGGTGTCCTGGGCCCTGGGTCCACTTGCACTCCGGCCGGAAGTTCCCACGTGGGTTCCTGGCTGTGGCAGGAGAGCCACACAGATCCCAGCACAGAGGATGGAAGCCCTCGCCGTGGTTCCCAGCGATGGCCAGAAGGGCACCAAGGTGCCTTCCTCCGCGTGGTCTGACTGGGCTGAGCCTTGCTCAGGAGAGGGTGGCTGTCAGGTGCGGGGGCTGCCCCAGCACTGCTCCCCCTTCTGCCTCATCTCGTCAGCGTCAGGGTCAGCACCCTGCTTCTAGGGCCTGGGTCTGCAACACGGCCGAGTAGCGTGGTGTCTCCTATGGCGCAGGTGCTCCCGGCGTGGAGCTGCGTTCGTGGTCTGAATTCCGTGCGGGTTTAGGTACTCACGGTCGGGCCAGTGGCTCCTGCGATGTGTCTGGGAGCATGATTTCGGGGGAAGGATGGCATTCCTCAGGGCTTTGGTAACACGTGTCGGAAAGAACCTGGCGGTGGGGAAGGCAGGTGTCAATACCAGCCTCTACCTCTGGCATCCGTGCTGTTTACAGCCAGGTCTGCTGCGGAGGGTGGGCGAGAGAGGCTTCTCCCGACTGTCCCTTGCCCTTTCTGAGGGGAACTTACATTCTGATGTTGGAGGAAACCCTCAGAGCAGCTCTCTGTGGCTTTGCCCGTGCTCTGCTTGGGAGGCTCCAAGTCCTCCTGCCCGGAGCGGTGTCACCAGCGAGGCTCCCAGAGACCCAGACTCCCGGTTCCTATGGGGCCGGGGTTCCAGACTCCAGAGGGAAGCAGGGTTGCACATAAACCATGGCATTTGCAGGAACAGTTTGGCCCCAGAGCCTGCCCTGTCATGGAGCGCGGGGGACCCCAGGGTGGGTTCCCAGCCCCAGGCCTGCGATGCGAGCCCGGGTCTGCTGAGTGCTGCTCAGGACTTGGGATTTGAGTCATATCCTGGGTGGCTTGTCCACGGGGAATGAGGGATGTTCACAGGGTCTGTCAGGTGTAGAGAGGGAGGAGACGGGTGTCGGGGCAGCCCAGCACCTGCAGGGGCTCAGGATGGCCTGTCTGCGCACCTCCCATCCCGCCTCCTCCCTCCTGGGAACTTCCCCTGGCCTTGGAGAGCAGAGGATATATAGCTGCTCCTGGCTGGGGCGGGCAGCCCTGCCCTCTGGATCTGCATCTGCGTGGACGGGTGGCCCTGTCCTCCGGGCCTGGAGCGGGGGTGTCCCTGTCTCTCTTGGGCTGGGTGGGTGGGCCACCCTGTTGCTTGGGGTAGCGGCTTGCTTGTGGGACCTTCTCTGCTCAGCGACTGCCCCCCATCCTGAGAGACACTCGGTGGGCACTGGGCCTGCGGCTGCTATGAAAGAAGTGTTGCGGGTCCTCCCTCGGCCCTTGGCGTGCAGGTGTGGGCTTCTTCGACCGTGACTCAGGTTGCCCTGACCCCCAACTACTCCGGCCCCCAGCATGTCTGTGGATGGGCCTGTCCCGGACATTTCACAGAAATGGGGTCACACACTGCGTGGCCTTTTGTGTCTGGCGTCGTCTCTCAGTGAGCGTGACGTCCTCGAGGTGCATCTGCGCTGTGGCCTGGGGTGGAGCCTGGCTCCTGCTCCTGGCGGGGTCCTGCTTCCGCGCGCGGCCTTGCTGTGCTCTGTTGGTCTTTCCTCTGCTGGACTCTTGTCTGCTTCCACCTTTTGGCTGTGGCGAGTCGTGCTGGCTCTGGGAGGCATTCGTGTCGGGCGTTTGTGTGGTGTGTGTCTTTCTCTGGGAATGGAGGTGGTGGTGGTTTTGGAGGATTTGAAAGGCAGGGTCTCAGTTATCCAGATGCTACTGCGTTGGGCAGCTAGGTTAATAAGAGGTGTTTCCTCCTGGACCGTGCTTGGTCTTGAGGTCTGGTGGTAGACCGGCGTCGGGCTGCAGCTGGCTTTGCTGTGAGCGCGGCGTGGAGCTGGGGGACAGCGCTGCTCTTAGCTCAGCAGCGCACAGGGGCGGACACCCCCAGGGACTGGCGGCTCAGCTTCGAGGTGTGCATGTTTCTTGCGGTTGGTGAGGGAGGGACAGAGCTCGGCACTAGGCTTTCCCGGCCTGGCCAAGTGTTGCTGCCTGCCGTGGAGGGTGCCCCCCAGCGTCCCGCCGCCTCCCTCAGGCACTGCCTGGAGCCAGCATGGTGGGGACTGCAGGCCCTGCCTTGGGGCACCCCTGCTGGCCACTTCTGGTCCTGGGAGTGGCTGCAGCCCCTGATTTTGAGCTTACATTTCTAGGAGACTGCAGCATGGCTGGCAGGTGTGTGTTGGTGTGGCTGTGGTCCCCTTGGCTGGGCCTGGCCTCCCCAAGTGGATGCTGGAGCACGAGGACCTGTCCCGGCTTCTCAGGAGGTTCTGCCTGTTCTCTGCGCGTCCCTCTCGCCTGCCCTTCTGCCTGCAGCTCCCAGGGCTGCAGCCGGTGGGGCCTGGGCGTCCTCCTGCTCCTTCCCTGCAAGCAGAGCTGTGCTCATTTCATTCTTTCTTCACAGGGGCCGGGCGGGCTGGGGCTGCCAGGGAGGCTGGGGGTCCCCACTCATGCCTGTTTTCTCTTTTCAGTTGGAGAGAGGCGATTTCCTCTCAGAAGAGTGGAGGGAGCGAATCGCCAACACGAGGTATGGCCGGCATGGGGCGTGCGGGGCATGTGGGGTATACGCTCACGGGCGGGCAGTGGCCATGGCACTGGAGTCCGGGAACGGCCCCTCACTCCTGCGCTGGCTGTGTCAGGAAAGAGGCCGGTGGGGACAGGAAGGGTGCCTTTCCCTCACCCTGGGCCTCCCTCTGAGGGCGCGCAAAGCGGACATACCCAGCAGATGTGCCCAGCAGAGCCCCTGTCAGCCCCTGCAGACCCTGCTGGCAGTGAGCCTGTTCCTGCTGCCCTATCCCCTTGACTTTCTCGCCTGGGTTCCTGGGCCTCCTCCCCACTCAGGCTTGGTCTGGGGGTCTTCCTGTCTCCGTGCATCCCTCCTGGAGTGGCTGGCACCCACACAGTGTGCACAATGGTCCCAAGCCATCTTGGCGCTGCCTGGGCTTGCCCCCTCCGCGCCGCCTCTCACCCAGGCCCAGGAGCTCAGGGCACTGTCCAGGTCCCTCCCCACTGCCACCTGTTTGTCCTGGTGGCTACCGGCTCTGTGTGGCTGGGCTGGGCCCCTGTGCTCTCCACTGCCCAGCCTGGGTGTGGCCACGGTGCTCCAGCGTCTGCCAGGGACCCTGGGGGCCCAAGGCTCTTGTGAGAGCAGCCGGCGAGGTGGGGTCAGCAGCCGGCTGGGCCCTGCTCCCCCAGTCCCGCTGTCCTCCCTGCTCCCCTTGTCCTCCCAGCATTCCTTGTCCTCACGTCCCTTGTCCTCCCTGCATTCCTCGTCCTCCCCATGCCCCTCGTCCTCCCTGCATTCCTCATTCTCCCTGCATTTCTCGCCCTCTCCATGCCCCTCGTTCTCCCTGCGTCCCTCGTCCTCGCCACGCCTCTCATCTTCCCCGCACCCCTCCTCTCTGCATTCCTCTTCTTCCCCATGCCCCTTGTCCTCCCCGCACCCCTTGTCCTCCCTGCCCCCTCACTCCTGCTGTCTTCCCTGTGCTTTTCTTCCTCTCGGCTGTGCGCATGGCTTATGGTTAAGTGTCCCCCATGGACAGGGTTTGGGGTACAAGTAGAAAATGGGGGTTTCTTTTCCCAAAAGGTTCCTAGGTTTGCTCTTCTGTGTGAACTTCTGTTTGGGTTGGGGCACTGTGCCCCCCGGCGGGTGTTCTGCCATCTGGAGGGAATCGTGCTGACCCTGTGGTATCCCCATCCCATGGAGTGGTGGTGGGAGCACAGGGGGACCTGCAGCGGTCAGGCCATGATTGCTGTCTTGTAACAAACTCTTAAGCCGAGAGGCCGGGCGCGGTGGCTCAAGCCTGTAATCCCAGCACTTTGGGAGGCCGAGATGGGCGGAGCACGAGGTCAGGAGATCGAAACCATCCTGGCTAACACGGCGAAACCCCATCTCTACTAAAAAAAAAAATACAAAAAACTAGCCGGGCGAGGTCGCGGGCACCTGTAGTCCCAGCTACCCGGGAGGCTGAGGCAGGAGAATGGCGTAAACACGGGAGGCGGAGCTTGCAGTGAGCCGAGATCCGGCCACTGCACTCCAGCCTGGGCGACAGAGCAAGACTCCGTCTCAAAAAAAAAAAAAAAAAAGCCGAGAGATTTCCTGGCATCTCATTGACATCTGGGCTTGGCGCAGGCTCTCGCAGTTCCTCTCTAGGAGCTGCCAGCCTCGCTGCCTTGTTGGGTAGCCCCAGCCCTGGGTTCAGCCTGCTCTGGCTCTGGGCATAGCGTACAGATCTTGACCAGGAGGGGCTCCTCCCACAGGTTGCCCGCTGACTGTGGGGCCTCGCACTCTGGCCTCAGCCTGTTTTCCCTTTCCTGTGTCTCACCCACTATGGCGGTGGCTTTGGAGGTGGCATCATGGAGTTTGCTTCTCTGAACACCCAGTTACCCAGGTCTTTCTGGCTCATGCCGCTCAGCCGCCTTGGCCACCTGAGCTCAGCCAGCCTTACGTCTAGCCTCCCTAAGTGCAGTCCTGAGTGGGGAACACAGGTGGCCCCAGGACCCTCATTTGAGGATGGTGGCCTGGGAAAGCTGTGCGGGGCCTGCATGGGAGCCTCCGGTTCCCCGCTGCTTGCCAGGGGGTCTGAAACGCTGCCAAGGGTGCCTCGCCTGGGGCCCGTTGTCTGCGGTCTCTGCGGCGGTTGAGCGGGAGCCTCTGCTTGGTGCCCCCTGTGGCAGTCCAGCCCCCTGCTGGGCCTCTGTTTTTGGCCACCTGCCTTCTTCCCTCGGCCTGTGGGTCCTTCACGGCTGCTCCTCCTGCATTGTGTGGGCTGCTCGTGAACCTTCCCAGATCACTGGACTCCAAGATTCACGATAAGGGACTTGGCCCCGAAGCCCGCCCCTCTGTTTTCGGCCCCACTCAGAAGAGGCCGCTCAGGTCTTTTCCCTGCACCTGAAACCCACGGTGTGCGCTTGGCGGTGTGGGCTTGGCCCTGGAGGTGGCGGGCGGGTGTGGGCAGGGCCTGGCACCGACAGCAGCGGTTGTTGGCTCTGCCGGGTGGCTGTGCCCGTGAGGCGAGCCTTCATGGCACTGAACTGGAGTATTGTTTTGCAGTGTTATATTTGTGAATAATTTTGCCTTTGGTCCTGAGGTGGATCACCAGCTGAAGGAGCGGTTTGCAAACATGAAGGAAGGTAAGGCGCCCTCCTCACCGGTCTGTGCTGGTGTGACGTGATTGAGGAAGGGCGGCGGCCAGGAGGTCCCCGCAAGTTGTCCTGCAGAAGGCAGCTCAGACTTGGGGTCCTTAGTCCCCTGGGAGCCAGGCAGTCTTCCTTCGTGCTGTTTTTTCTTTTTTTATTGAGACAGTTTTGCTCTGTCTCCCAGGCTGGAGTGCGGTGGCACAATCTCTGCTCACTGCAACCTCCGGTTTCCAGGTTCAAGCGATTCTTCTGCCTCAGTCTCCCGAGTAGCTGGGACTACAGGTCCGTACCACCATGCCCAGCTGATTTTTGTTTTTATTTTGTTTTATTTATTTTTTGAGATAGAGTCTTGCTCTGTCCCCCAGGCTAGAGTGCAGTGGTGTGATCTCAGCTCACCGCAACCTCTGCCTTCTAGGTTCAAGCCATTCTCCTGCCTCAGCCTCCCAAGTAGCTGGGACTACAGGCACACGCCACCATGTCCGGCTAATTTTTGTACTCTTAGTAGAGACGGGGTTTCACCATGTTGGCCAGGCTGGCCTCGAACTCCAGACCTCTGGTGATCTGTCTGCCTCGGCCTCCCAACATTTTAGGATTACAGGCGTGACCGCCACGCCCGGCCCTGGAACCTTCTTGGGTTGAGCCTGTAGCTGATCACCCGGGGCAAGAGCGAGAGTCCCCTTTGTTCTTGACCTGAGCACATGGAACGCGGTGTCCAGAATGAGCAGGAGCGGGGCTCTCAGCTGTTTTGTTTTCTCCCTCTGGAGAAAGGTCACCAGGCCCATGCAGGGCCCTTCATGCTGTTTCCTGAACCCCAAGCCCTGGCGTAGTCTCAGGAGCGGTTAACTCAACCCATCACATCAATTCCAGTCCTGCAGTTGAGGGTGGGACCCAGATCACAGCCTGTGGAGTGCCCCTTCCCCTAAACATGGAGACTGAGCGTGCCATTGTCCCCCAACCCCCGCCAGCCCCCCAGCAGGACGCAGGGCAGGTTTGGGGTCTTCCTTGCGGGGATTGTGCTGCCTGCCTTCCGAGGCTCTCCACCAAGCCTTGCAGCAAGCACCACCTCTGTGTACTGGCGGATGTGGCTTCCAAAGCCACTGCTAGACTCGGAGACAGGTGCTCTGGAGGTACCCTTCTCCCTCCCAACTGCTTCCCACCTGTCCTCTCTAGGGAGGCCTCCAGAGGCTAGGGGAGAACCGTGGTGGGCTCTTCAGGCCTCTCAAACAAAACCCAGAGGGTCTGCAGCTGCCTTCAGCACCAACGCCCCACAACCATGGGGGTTTGGAGGGTGCCTGTGTGCATGTGTCTGTGAGTGTGTCTGTGTCTCTGCATGCCTGTGTCTCTTGTGTGTATGCCTGTGTGCCTGCGTGTCTGCTTGCGTGTCTCTGTGTGTGTGTCTGTGTCTGCATGTCTGTGCCTGTGTGCATGCCTGTGTGTGCGTGCCTGTGTGCCTCCCTGTCTAGGTATGTGTTTGCTTGTTTGTTTCTGTGTGTGCATGTAGGCCTGCGTGTCTCTGTGCATCTGTGTGCCTTGCGAGTTTATTTGATATCTGTGTGTGTGTGTGCGCGTGTGGCAATGGTGTTTCTGAATTATCTTAGAACCACGTGGGGACACCATGCTTCCCCGCCCAGTCGCCCCCACACCTCAGCAGCACTCCGGGCCGCCCTGCACTCTGCGACTGCACGCAGGAAGGCAGCAGTGGCTGCAGGCAACTCCTGTCACCCCCTCCGTGGTCCCCGTACCTGCTAGAACGCCTCTTCTGGCTGTTTCTCGCTAGCTTTCTCTGCACGCTCAGACGTGGTGGCTGGGTCAGGGTACTGCAGTGGCGTCTCCTGTCCAGCCCCTCCCTGTTTTGAAGGGAGTGGCCAGCAGCACTGATTCTAGGGACCCTGATGGTCCCAGACGTGCCCGTGAGCATCTGTCAACCTGGCTCTGCAGCCATTTGACTTGGCCCTGCTCATGTTTGAGGTCCTCTCGTAGGGATACTGGCCTAACCCGTGTGCCCAGCCTGGCCCCGGAACTGCCCTTCCTGCCCCTCTTGAGGGGAGTGGCGTGCAGAATGCCAGGCCTGGGCTGGCGCGGCATCTGGGAGGAGAGCTGGGATGGCGGGGTGTGCGTGTGTTTAAATGGATCCATTTTGACTTTTACTTTTTTTTGTTTTTTGAGACGGAGTCTCGCTCTGTCGCCCAGGCTGGAGTGCAGTGGCACGATCTCGGCTCATTGCAAGCTCCGCCTTCCGGGTTGACGCCATTCTCCTGCCTCAGCCTCCCAAGTAGCTGGGACTACAGGCGTCTGCCACCTTGCCTGGCTTATTTTTTTTTATTTTTAGTAGAGACGGGGTTTCACCGTGTTAGCCAGGATGGTCTTGATCTCCTGACCTCATGATCTGCCCACCTCGGCCTCCCAAAGTGCTGGGATTACAGGCGTGAGCCACCGCACCTGGCCAGCGTAGTGGGTTTTGAAGAAACTGCCCTACACACGTTGGCTGGCTTTGCCTTCCTCATTTAACAGGAAATCCCGGGAATCATACTGGACAGCGCAAGCTCCTTTCCTGGCGCATCTTGCAGCAGTGGCTGCCCAGGGCTCTTCTGCAACCGCGTCCCCCGCTGGGCTGAGTTGCTCCTCTTTTGGGAGGTTCCTGTGCAGAGCCCATTTCACACAGGGAAGCCCTGGCTCAGGGTCTGTGAGGACTTGAGAACTTTTTTTCTTTTTTTGGGGCTGGTAGGGGGGTTGAGTCTCACTGTATCATTCAGGCAAGGAGTATAGTAGCTGTATCTTGGCTCACTGCAACCTCCGCCTCCCAAGTTCAAGCAATTCTTCTGGCTCAGCTTCCCGATTAGCTGGGATTACAGGTATGCACTACCACACCTGGCTAATTTTTGTATTTTTTTAGTAGAGACAGGGTTTTACCCTGTTGGCCAGGCTGGTCTGGAGCTCCTGGCCTCAGGTGATCCACCTGCCTTGGCCTCTCAAAGTGCTGGGGTTACAGGCGTGAGCCACCACACCACGCCAAGAACGTTTTTTAAGAAACGTTATTTGTAGGAGGTTGGGCACGGTGGGTCACGCCTGTAATCCCAGCACTTTGGGAGGCCGAGGCAGGCGGATCACCTGAGGCCAGGAGCTCCAGACCAGCCTGGCCAGCAGGGTGAAGCCTATTCTTTACTAACAATGCAAAAATTAGCCAGGTATGGTGGTGCATACCTGTAATCCCAGCTACTCAGGAGTCTGAGGCAGGAGAATTGCTTGAACCAGGGAAGCGGAGGCTGCAGCGAGCCGAGAGGCTCTGTCGCAAAAAAAAAAAAAAAAGTTACTTGTAGGATAGGCTTACCCTTGGAAGGTGTAGGCAGGTGGACAGGACTCGGAGCCCAGTGTGTGTGTGTTCCGTGTCGTCGCTCCTTCTCTGTCACCTTGAGTGGTGTCTGCGCTTCTGTTTCCTCTCCCCTGTGTGGCAGTAAGCAGTGTCTGTGTTTCAGGTGGCAGAATCGTGTCCTCGAAACCCTTTGCACCTCTGAACTTCAGAATAAACAGTAGAAACTTGAGTGGTAAGAAACTCTCAGCATTGTTAATGATTCACACGGGTAATTTTAACCACCTGACATGCGCTATTCTAAGTTCCTCCCCCTTGGCCCTGTGGAAATTGGGGCTGGATCCTTCTCTGGGGTGGGGCTGTCCTGGGCACTGCAGGGTGCTGAGCCGTGTCCCTGGCGTCCACCCACTCCCTGCCAGGAGCACCCCTGGTCATGACAACCACACACGTCCCTAGAGAGCACTGTGTGCCCTGGGGGCAGCATCACTCCTAGGGGAGACCCTGGCTTTGAGGGGAGACATGAAGGATTTACGGGACTCTTGTGGACAGGGACAGGCCCGCGATGGGAAGGAGCTGGCCCCTCCTGTGCCCCCTGCCTGCCTCGCTGTGCTGTGTGCTCTGTCGGCTCCCGGCCATGCTGGGCAGCACAGCCTCTTCCTGAGGGGCTTCCCTGAGGAGCGCCCACCTGGGAGGTGCCTGTGTTGCTGGGTGCTGGCTGTTCTTGCAGCCACGATCTAAGTTGCTTCCAGATCTTCTCCCCCTCCTTTTCCATTCCACTCAGCTGGGTTTGTGGCTGTTTTTCTGAGGTTGGAGGGCCCCAGACCAGGTGCTGTTGAATAGTTCATCTCCCTGGGACGGCCTCTGTGGGCCGCTGTGGCCTGACTCAGTGTGGGAGAAGAGGAAAGACGTGCAGCTCAGGCTTCTGTCCCCACACCTGCCCTTGGGTGGGTGAGGTCGGCATGGAGGGGCTGCGGGTAGACGTGGGCCCGGGCCTCACCTGTGGCTCCCACAGACATCGGCACCATCATGCGCGTGGTGGAGCTGTCGCCTCTGAAGGGCTCGGTGTCATGGACGGGGAAGCCAGTCTCCTACTACCTGCACACTATCGACCGCACCATAGTGAGTATCTTGTGCCTTTCACCCCGCCCACGTCACACCTCCCGCCTTTCTCACATGGCCTCTGAGACCCTCCCCCAGAGCCCTGAACGCGCCCCCCCGCCCCCTCCACGGCTCAGGCCCAACTCCTCAAGGCCCCCTCAGCACTGCTTGCTCCGCGGGACCCACCAGGGTCCTCCCAGGCGCTGGGCGTGTCCTGGGTGAGGGCCGAGCACTGTCTCCCCTTCTCTGCACTCAGCCCTGGGATGAGGCGGGGCCCTCATCGTGATGCGTGACCGTAAGGGTCCTGGCCGCCATATCCAGAGGCCCCTGTGAACAGGAGTCCCACGTCCCTGTTCCTAGCTCCCTCCATGTGAGAGGGTCCTGAGCAGGGAGACGCCAGGGTCCATGGGTGGGGTCTGGGATGCTTCTTCCCTCCCTGTGTTCCCCAGGGTCCTCTGACACTGCCCTGGGCCAGTGTGCGGCCTGCCTGCTTCCCAGGGTGCTTCCCCCACAGCCCCTTCGCACGGGTATCCCGAGCCACCTGGCGTGTGGGCAGCGCTGGCCCTCCAGGGCTGGGAGGCTTCCCCTGGTCTCTTTCTTGTCCTTCGGTTGGGCAATCTGTTCTTGTTATTGGAGTAGCGGTGGTTTTCCTCACGGTGGTGCTGGTGTGTCCAGACCCTCACTGTCCGGCGCTCGGAGCCTCCACTGGAGCCTTCCTGGGGAGCGCTGGTGCGGACTGGGGGCCGACAGTCCTAGTCAGACTCACCCCGCCCCTTCCACTGCTCCCCCGAGGGCCCTGGGACGAGAGGCATGGGGAGCTGAAGCTGAGGCTCTGGGGGCTTGGCCTACCGTGTGGCCCCCACCCCCACGCAGTGCTGCTGCTTCAGCCGCCCTGCACTGCTGCCCTCGGCGCGGCCCCTCCCCTCCTCCTCTGAGGCCGGCGCGGTGCTTCTGTGCAGAAAGCCCTTCCTCTTCCAGAAACAGAGACACATCCCGGGGCCCCGTGTCTATTCTGAAGGCTCAAACCAGCTCTGCCCACCCGTCGCGTGCTGGTGAATTGAGGGTGATGTCTGGCCGCAGCTGGGTTAGTCACATCTGTGTTTGCTGCTGGGTGGCTCCAGCTGCATGCCTGGTGTCCCCAGATACCAGAACGGCCTCCCCCGCCACTCTCCAGGGAGCTGTTATCTGGGTGTCCAGGCAAATCAGAACAGAGATTGGGACTCCCTTCTAATAAGGGTTCTCTTTCTTCATTTTAGCTTGAAAACTATTTTTCTAGTCTGAAAAACCCAAAACTCAGGGTAAGTGTGTGTGTTTTTTCTCCTGGGTTAATAACATGCATGCACTGATGTGGGGAGACGCAGAGCCGTGTGCAGCCGGGTTCAGGAGCCATGACTGGAGCATAGCCCTGCTGCCCTTCAGGGCCCAGCCCAGTGGCCTTTCCCGCCTCCTTCCTGCTCCTCCCTGTCATTCCTGGTCCCCTCCCTACCCTTTCCTCCCTGTCCTCCTGCTCCTCCTCTCCTCTCCCAGCCCTTCTCTCTCACCATTCAGTCTCTCTCTCCCACCCTGCCTCTCCCTTTCTCTCTCTCTCCCACCCACTCTCTTGTCTCTTTCTCTCTCCATACTTTGCCTTGTCTTCGATGGTTTGGCCTGGGCCATCCTTGTTAATACCCATTTCTGGGGAGGTGGCTTGGGTTAGTTTTGGTGATGGGGTAAGTTGCACTGAAGGGCTGGGTGGGTGAACAGCTTGTGCATCACTGCCAGCTGCCCCCTCTTGAGGTCTGAGTGGCCACACCTGCACTTGTCCCACCCTCAGTGCAGAGTGCAGCTCCTGGGTCCCCACCGCCGTGCACGCTTTGCACTGTCGCAGGCAGGGCTGTCCCCTCCGCTCCCACCTTAAAGCCGCGGTAGGAAAGCCTGGCTCGGGAGCCGCAGTGGCTGCCCTGCTCCCTGGTGCTTCTGCAGTCTCAGACCTGCCTGCTTATTTGCCACCAAAGCTGAGAAGACGTTTGTCCAGGCGTCCTTTCCTTTTGGAGGGTCAGACGGGACCAGTGTGTACAGAGCCCCATTCAGGAAGGGCTCTGTTACTGCCTGGATTTGTAGCCGGGGCTGGGCTCCAACCTGGCCTCAGAGTATGGTAACCCTCGGGGGCCCTCTGTCCTTCCCACCATGCTTAGGGGGATGCAGGTCTTCCCTGGAGAGCAGGGAACAGCCCGAGGTGGCTGGTGCCCCCTGTGTTCTTCCCGTGGGTCGCGCCCTCCGCCAACTCTCATATCAGAGAACTTGTGCACAGTGTCCCGCATGTGGGCCTTGGTGCCTTTTGAAGAGAGGAGAGAGGGTAGGGGAGGCTGTGGGCTGTGGTGTCTAGGTCCTGCTGCCCGAGGGCCTTCTTGTCTCCTTTCTTAGATGTGGTTCTTCTCTCCGTGGCTCACAGTCTGGCTTCTTACTGATGGGCGGCTGTGATCGTGGGAGTGGCTGTGAATGCCATCATCCATGCCCACGGGTCACGTCCTGGCCTGTGGGACCCCAAGCAGCCCACTGCTGTCTCTGGGCCTCAGTTTCCTGATTGGTGCCACAAAGGACTTGCAGTGGACAGAGTTGGGCCTGTGGCCCCCTTGAGTCTGAGCTCCGCGTGCCTCTCGGTGTAGGAGGGCTGTGGGCAGCGCTGGGGCTCCCCGTGGCTCAACCCGCTCTCCTTCCAGGAGGAACAGGAGGCAGCCCGGCGCCGCCAGCAGCGCGAGAGCAAGAGCAACGCGGCCACGCCCACCAAGGGCCCCGAGGGCAAGCTGGCTGGCCCCACCGATGCCCCCATGGTAAGGCCCCGCCTGGCTCCTGGTGCTGGAGGGCACCCGCCCGCTGCCCGGGAGATCCCATGGGCGGGAGGCTCGGCGCCCATCTCTGTTCTTCCTTTGTGTCCTCCAGGACTCTGGTGCTGAGGAAGAGAAGGCAGGAGCAGCCACCGTGAAGAAGCCATCTCCCTCCAAAGCCCGCAAGAAGAAGCTCAACAAGAAGGGGAGGAAGATGGCTGGCCGCAAGCGCGGGCGCCCCAAGAAGATGAGCACTGCGAACCCCGAGCGGAAGCCCAAGAAGAACCAAACTGCACTGGATGTCCTGCACGCTCAGACCGTGTCTCAGACGGCAGCCTCCTCGCCCCAGGGTGAGTTACCCCTGCGCCACGGCCCCGTTCTCCCTGAGTGCAGATGCCTGGGGGGCCGTCTGCTGGGACGCTGCCCTCCTGAGCCCCAGGTGTTCAGGGTGTCCCAGGAGCCTCCCTGGTGGGGCTGTGCCTTCAGGGTGGCCCCGTCCTAAGGGGTTGCTGGGCACCTGCCCCATGCTGATGCCCTGCCCACCGCTCTCACCCAGATGCCTACAGGTCCCCTCACAGCCCGTTCTACCAGCTACCTCCGAGCGTGCAGCGTCACTCCCCCAACCCGCTGCTGGTGGCGCCCACCCCGCCCGCGTTGCAGAAGCTGCTAGGTGAGCTCACGCGAGGGGTCTGGCGGAGGGTGCTGGGCTTGGGGTCCCGGGAGGACCGTAGGTTGTGAGTCTGACCTCGCAGCAGCCCCCGTGACCCCCCATGCTGGACCCCACTGAAGTCACCCAGGGTCCGGGTCTGCCTGCTGCCAGGGTCAGTAGAGGCTTAGATGCAGCGCGTGGGTTGTCTGAGGTCTTACCCAGGAGATGCTAGGTGACACTTGGGACATCTGCGGCTGTCATAACTTAGGGGTGCTGCTGGTATGGGGTGGGATGCTGCTCAGGGCCCTGCAGTGCCCACGATGTCCCCACGCAGCGAACACTCGGCTGTGCAGGGGTCAGAGGGCCTGAGTGCTCTGAGAGCCTGGAGCGTGTGGTGTGGGCCCCGCCGGGCTCTGCTGAGCTCCTGCCTCATGAGCACCTGACACCCGCCGAGGCCTGGGGCTCGTTCTCCGGGGCCGCTCCCTCCTCGTTTCTCTCAGCCTCAGCTGTTCTGTGCTCACTGGTATTCCGCCTCTCTTCCCAGAGTCTTTCAAGATCCAGTACCTGCAGTTCCTGGCATACACAAAGACCCCCCAGTACAAGGCCAGCCTACAGGAGCTGCTGGGCCAGGAGAAGGTGGGTTCTGGCCCCCTTGTCGTTCCTCCTTCCTGCACAGAGGCAGGTCGGTTCCTGTTCCTGGGCATCTGTCCGCTGTGGCAGAGGCCCTGGAGCGCAGGCCTGAGTGAGCTCCCTCCTTCTCTCACCCGCTGCGAGAAACAAACCTACCTGTTTAAACCCAAAGAATGGACTGAGAAACCCGGAGAACAGCAAAAATGAGACTTTTAATCATGGTTTTGCAAGACCTGGTGTCCGATAGGCACACCCTGCTCAATTTTAACAAGCAACTTACCCTGTAGTGCACAGGTCCCTCCCCCAGTTCCTCAAAGGCTGAGTACTGTTCCCAGACATTGCCTGTTGGTTGCTCGGCAGGGGCTGTAGGTGTTTTCTTTTTCTTTTTCTTTTCTTTTTTTTTTTTTTTTGAGGCGGAGTCTCGCTCTGTCGCCCAGGCTGGAGTGCAGTGGCGCGATCTCAGCTCATTGCAAGCTCTGCCTCCCGGGTTCACGCCATTCTCCTGCCTCAGCCTCCCCAGTAGCCGGGACTACAGGCCCCCGCCACCACGCCCGGCTAATTTTTTGTATTTTTAGTAGAGACGGGGTTTCACCATGTTAGCCAGGATGGTCTCGATCTCCTGACCTCGTGATCTGCCGCGCGCGGCCGTAGGTGTTTTCTTTAGGGTTGTCCTGCTGCATTTTGTGCATCGCAATCCCAGTCAGCTCAGGGGCTTTTCAAGTATTTGACTTATGACCTAAGTAGCTGGGCAGGCTGATAAGAACAGACAAAGCGAGCTATTTTGCAGACTAGTAAACCTTCATCTTAGACTAAACTTCTTTGATTCGGGTGAGGGCAACTAAGCGGGGGGAAGGGGAGGTGGGGAGGCTGACAAGAGGCATCAGCGATCCAAACAGGGGCCTAGTACCTGCTGTCTCTTCTGTAGTTTGCTGACCTAAGCTGATTCAAAGCACTTTGTCCTGAAAATGGACCACTGTATACATGATTTCTTTCATCTGAGGTCCCGGCTGTGGGGCCCCGCCCATCCCACTCTGGGAGCCTCAGAGGACCTACCTCTGGGGAGTTAGGCCTGGGCTATGGGGTGGAAGTTCTGGTGGCCCAGAGATAACTCCAGAAGCCACTGGAGCCACAAGGTCGGCGGTCCCTGAGCCCTGGTTTGCATTTTTGGACTTTGGTTTTGCTTTAGGAAAAAAAAAAAAAGCTTATAGCGTGCTTTGAGCATACGCACATACATTGCTCCCTGTGTAGCTGACAGCACGCCTGGGCTTGGGGCCCTGTTCTCTGCTAGTGTCTGGGGGTTGTCCTGTGTCGATGGCTCCTGGGCTCTTCCCTTGGAGGTGGGCCTCCGGACGCTGAGTTTTTGCTGTTACGCTGCAGAAGGCTTCCTCGCAGATCCATGTGAAAAGTCCGTTCCCTGGTATTGCCTTGGGATAAACTCCTCAGCGTCAGCCGGCCTCTGCGTGGCTGGGGGCGCTGCCCTGGCTGGGCCCGGGTTGGGTGGCAGGCGCCATCCCTCCGGCTACAGAGAGTTCTTTGCAGTGAACCTGTCGCAGAGCTGGTCCCCTCCCGCGGTGGCCTGAGTGTTTCTCGGCATCTCAGCCCGGTGTGGGTCCTCTCACACGTGTCTGTCCTTGAGCGCGTCGGCGGGAAGTGTGAGGGGCAGGGCGTGGGCCCTCCCTGTGGGCCCTCAGTCACCTGCCCTGTCTGTCCTGCAGGAGAAGAACACCCAGCTCCTGGGCGCGGCTCAGCAGCTCCTCAGCCACTGCCAGGCCCAGAAGGAGGAGATCAGGAGGCTGTTCCAGCAAAAATTGGATGAGGTAGCGGACCCCAGAGGGCAGGTGGCAGCTGGGGCACAGCCTGGGGTGGCCCACATCCGTCGGTATGGCTTCCTATTTGGGCCTCTGTCGGGCTGTGTCCCAGGGGCTGGGCTGCAGGGTTGGTCATGCCTGGGGGCTTACTTCACCTTGGAGGCCACCAACATGACCTCTGCCCCACCCCATGTCCCCAGCTGGGCGTGAAGGCGCTGACCTACAACGACCTGATTCAGGCGCAGAAGGAGATCTCCGCCCACAACCAGCAGCTGCGGGAGCAGTCGGAGCAGCTGGAGCAGGACAACCGTGCGCTGCGCAGCCAGAGCTTGCAGCTGGTGGGTGCCGCAGCGCAGGGACAGGGACATAGAGGGAACCAGAGGGGCCCTGCCTGGGTGGGTGTGTCCTCTCTGCAGACGGGAGGCTCTGGAAGGCTCGCCTCTCTCGCGGGGTTTGTTTTAAAATGAATCGCGCCACCTGTGAAAGCTTGTCGAGCATGTCCCATCAGGCAGACCCCAGCCCTCGGCTGGATGGTTTCTCAGCGGCCCTGGGTGTCAGGGAGCCGCACTGTGTCAGGCTCAAGGTGTGGGGTCATGGGAGCACCCCCCTGTCGTCGTGTGGGTGCTGGAGCTGCCTTATCTGTCCCTGGCGGGCCCTAGTCTCCGCTTGTTTTGCATCCTCAGCCTGCTGTTCCAGAAACGGGGTCTGTGCCCTAAACACACAGGCTGTTGGCTGAGGCGGGTCCAGGGAACCCTGCCCTGAGGGTGTGGAGTGTGCCAGGCAGGCAGCCAGTCAGTCACAACTGCTGCATCCCTGTCCCCCTCAGCTCAAGGCTCGCTGCGAGGAGCTGCAGCTGGACTGGGCCACGCTGTCCCTGGAGAAGCTGCTGAAGGAGAAGCAGGCCCTGAAGAGCCAGATCTCAGAGAAGCAGAGGCACTGCCTGGAGCTGCAGGTGGGCTGCGCGCGAGGCTGCGCTCCATGGTGTCCAAGCCTCTCCCTTCGGCCTCCCTGTGACAGCGTTGAGGCCTGGGGTGGTTGCAGTTGCAGCAGCCTAGGAAGAAGATGGAGGAGGACAGTTGGGCGGAGGCTTGTGGAACCTGTCTTGGGCCGCAGGCTGGCTGTGTGGAGGGCTCCGCCTCACTCTGGCCCTCAGCTCTCGGGGGCATCTCAGGCTTGCTAGGCCGAATTCGCAGCGCTAACCCAGGATTTCCTGATTTCCTGGCTGCCTCCTTGCAAATTGCTTCTGTAACGGTTCTAGGGGAGAATTTGCTCATTAGAAAAATAGCTGGATCGGTGCAGGGGTTCACGAACGCCTGTAATCCCAGCACCTTGGGAGGCTGAGGCGGGCAGATCACCTGAGGCTAGGAGTTGGAGACCAGCCTGGCCAACACAGTGAGACCCTGTCTCTACCAAAAATACAAAAATTAGCTGGGTGTGGTGGTGCATGCCTGTAGTCCCAGCTCCCAGGGAGGCTGAGGCAGGAGGATTATTTGAGCCCTGGAGGTGGAGGCTGCAGCAAGCCAAGATTGCACCACTGCACTCCAGCCTGGGCGACAGAACCAGGCCCGTCTGAAAGATAAAATAGCTCGTACTTTCTGACACCGAGAAACGCATTTGTGGAGGCCAAGTAAAGGAAGTGTGGAGCAGGGTATGCGGTGGGAAGGTGCTCTCCTCCCTCCTCCCGGGCAGGGGCAGGTGCTGGTAGGCGGTGCCCACAGCTGCCGTGCAGCCTAGAAAGCAGCAGGTCATGGGCTTTGTTCCCAGAGCCCTGTCCCGTCGAGGCTGTGCCCGCCTGCTGACCTTACGTGTCCCCAGTGTGGTTTCACTGTTGGTGGACCTAGTGCCCTGTCACCGGACCTCCGTTGCCCTTTCAAATTACCGCACCAAACTTGCTGCAAGGCTGTCCCCGGAGGCAGGCTCCCATGGGCGGCTGACGGACGTCGGGAAGCGCCACCCACGTGCTGCCAAGCCGCTTCCTCACGTGGCCCGGGCGAGTCTCACTAGCATGTGTTAGAGAAACGGAAGTCGCTGACCTCGTTACCACAGCCAGGCCCTAGGGTCTGCCTGGAGTAGAGGCCTCGGGAAGAGCGTATTTGGGTTCTGACCATTTTTGTCATAATCTTTCTTCTGTAATAAAGAAACAAAATGTTTGTTAACAGAAAGGAAAGCACGTAACCAGAACAGATAAACCAAAAGGAAAAAGCCCCTCGGAGACGCGGCGCCGGGGAAGCTGCCACGTCTGACTGGCGTGTCCCTCCACAGGAGGGTGTTTTACACTCAGAGTCTATTTTGAGAGACAAGAGCACTCTGTATCCTCCTGTTGCTCTTTTTGGAGAAGGTGCTTTCATGTCAGCAAAAACCATCCTCGGCCCTCCACGGTGCTTTATTTGGCGCCCCAGCTTCCCGACCCTGCCTCTAGGTGGTCCGTGGCTTTGGTTTTTCTATCCCATGCAGGCAGCGGGGTCCGGCCGCCCCTCGGGTGTGCATCTGTGCTGCAGTCTTGGGTCCCCGGTGTGGCCCCAGGTGGGGCGGGCCTGACGCCCTCTCTCCTGCAGATCAGCATCGTGGAGCTGGAGAAGAGCCAGCGGCAGCAGGAGCTCCTGCAGCTCAAGTCCTGTGTGCCGCCTGATGACGCCCTGTCTCTGCACCTACGCGGGAAGGGTGCCCTGGGCCGCGAGCTGGAGCCTGACGCCAGCCGGCTGCACCTGGAGCTGGACTGCGCCAAGTTCTCGCTGCCTCACTTGAGCAGCATGAGCCCGGAGCTCTCCATGAACGGCCAGGCTGCCGGCTATGAGCTCTGCAGCGCGCTGAGCCGGCCCTCATCCAAGCAGAACACGCCCCAGTACCTGGCCTCACCCCTCGACCAGGAGGTGGTGCCCTGCACACCCAGCCATGGCGGCCGGCCGCGCCTGGAGAAGCTGTCTGGCCTGGCTGCACCCGACTACACCAGGCTGTCCCCGGCCAAGATTGTGCTGAGGCGGCACCTGAGCCAGGACCACACGGTGCCCGGCAGGCCGGCCGCCAGTGAGCTGCACCCGAGGTGAGTGCCCTGGCGGGGTGGGGGTCTGCACCTGGCGCCTGCCGACTCTGCCTGCTGTGCTCAGGATGTCAGGGGTTCTCAGCAGGAGTGCGTCTGTTGAGGAGACTGAGGTGGGGAGGTGCTAGGCCGGGCCGCTGCCTCTGAGCGCCAGCCTGCGGCCCTGTGTGGCCCTCGAGAGTGACTGTAACTTCTCATTCCAGAGCTGAGCACACCAAGGAGAACGGCCTTCCCTACCAGAGCCCCAGCGTGCCTGGCAGCATGAAGCTGAGTCCCCAGGACCCGCGGCCCCTGTCACCTGGGGCCTTGCAGCTTGCTGGAGAGAAGAGCAGTGAGAAGGTGCGGGCCACAACCCCCGCCCAGGGCTCAGGGAGGCACTCAGCAGAGGCGGCCTGAGCGAGTTGCTAGCAGGAGGGGTTGTCCTAGTTGACCTTGGCACAGCGAGGGACTGGGGTTGACCTGGAGGAGGACATTGTGGCTGAGTTGGGGGGCAGCCGGTAAGGCTGGTCACAGGAGACGCTGGGCAGGTGCCATGGAGGGTGTGGGCTTTGTCAGGGTGTCCCTGGCGCCTCTCAGTTCTCAGTGACAGACGGCAAGTGCTGGTGGAGACACAGAGCCCTGTTTGGGAGGCTGCTGCCCTCGAGGACTGCCCAGGGGGCACTGGCCTGTGTGCGCAGGGATGGAGAGGGATGGACGGCGACGTTGCATGGACTTGGCAGTGCTATGGATGTGGGCCCTGGGAGGCTTGGTGGCCCCACAGGTCACTGCCCACCGAGCTGGGCGGGCAGGCTGGAGGGGACAGATGGGCATTGCTTTCAGACGGCAGGAGCGTGCGGTGCCTCTGGAGTGTCCCAAAGCTGGTGTCCAGGAGGCCTGACTGTGTGGGGAAGGTTGCAGGGCCTTGGCAGCGTGGGGGCCGCCTTGAGAGAGTTGCAGCAGCCCCCGTCCTGTGGCTGTGGTTCCTTTGTCCTGGAGGGGTTTGTTGACCCGCGCCTGGGGGCGGGCCTTCGTCCGCAGGGCCTGAGAGAGCGCGCCTACGGCAGCAGCGGGGAGCTCATCACCAGCCTGCCCATCAGCATCCCGCTCAGCACCGTGCAGCCCAACAAGCTCCCGGTCAGCATCCCCCTGGCCAGCGTGGTGCTGCCCAGCCGCGCTGAGAGGGCGGTGAGTGGCTCCCAGGATGGCATCCCCAAGGGTCATGTTGAGGCAAAACAGAGTTTGGGGTTCTCGAGACCTGGCTCGCTTTGTAAAGTCACAGGCTGTTAAATGATGTCGAGCCTGAGGCAGTGCAGTGAAGGTGGACCATCCAAAGCCGAGGTGTGTCTGGTGACCTGGGCCGTTGTTATCGCCAGTCTTTTTCTTTTGGGTAAAAGGTGGGTGTGCAAGTGGAGAGGGCCTCACACCTTCTGGGTTGAGGAGGAGCTCAGAGGCGCACCCTGGCTCCCAGCCTCACTCCTCACGAGGCCCCGTTGGCTGCTGTGGCCCCTGTCCTCGCAGCCGCCTCTGGGTTCTCCCACCCAGTGCTGTGCATGCAGAGAATCTCATTTTGTGTAGCATGGGTGGGATTTTCTGGGCATTGAACTATTTTTTTACAAGTATACGCTTCAGCGGTTTTTAGCATTTTCTGTTCTTTTTTATTTGATTTTCTCGAGACAGAGGCTCGCTCTGTCTCCCAGGCTGGAGTGCAGTTGTGTGATCTTGACTCACTGCAGTCTCCGCCTCCCGGGTTCAAGCAGTTCTCCTGCCTCAGCCTCCCGAGTAGCTGGGATTACATGCATGCCCCACCACCACACCCGGTTAATCTGCCCCCAACCCCCCGAGACGGAGTCTCGCACAGGCTGGGGTGCAGTGGCACGATCTTGCGATCTTGGCTCACTGCAATCTCCGCCTCCTGGGTTCAAGCAGTTCTCCTGCCTCAGCCTCCTGAATAGCTGGGATTACAGGCGTGCGCCACTATGCCCAGCTGAGTTTTGTATTTTTAGTAGTGACAGGGTTTCACCGTCTTGGCCAGGCTGGTCTTGAACTCCTGACCTCAGGTGATCCGCCCACCTCAGCCTCCAAAAGTGCTGGGATTACAGGCATGAGCCACTGCATCCAGCCAATTGTTGTATTTTTAATAGAGGTGGAGCTTTTGCCATGTTGTCCAGGCTGGTCTGGAACTCCTGGCCTCAGTCGATCCACCTGGCTCGGCCTCCCACAGTGCTGGGATTCCAGGCATGAGCCCCCGTGCCCGGTCGGTTTTTTCGTATTTTTATACACCTCGGTCTAATTCAGGACATTTTCTTCACCCCAGAAGTGTTGCCCCCGTCAGCAGTCACTCCCTAGCCGTCCCCCAGCCCCCGGGCCCCCGAACACACTCGTGTCCGGGCCTGTCCCTCCTCTTGGCACGTGAGGGCATTCCCTGTGTGGGCGGAGTGTGCCGTCTTCATCGTGCCCAGTCGATGGGCCCCGGCTTGACTCCCCGTTTTGGCGATTGTGAATCATTCTGCTGTGAGCGCTGGGTCCAGGTTTCCGTGTGGATGTAGGTTTGCTCTTTGGCCTGTGTGGGAGTGGAGCTACTGGGTTCTGCGGTCACTACTGACCTTTGTTGGACTTGGAGTGTGGTGTGGGGAAGTGCGGGGGTGGTGGCCGGTGGGTGTGGTCTCGTGAGCGCCCCCACGCGACTGCTGACATTTGTCCGTGCTACTTAGAGAACAGCCACTTTCCCTGTTGAGGGTGGGCTGTGGGTGGTTTGAGTGGTGCCCAGTACCCCCTCCCCACCGCCGGACCCCAGGACTCCCGCCTCCTGACCTCCCTGCCTCAGGCCCGCTGCCTCATTCACACACACGCACTGCCCACCCTCGCTGCGCCACCTGCTCGGGGCCCCACTGCAGTTCCCCCACTGCCCTCTTCCCATCCTGGACTGGACGGTGACCCAGCCAGCTGCAGCCCTCCACACTCACTGTTTCCAATTGGGTTCTGGGTCTCGCCCCTGACACGAGGTTTTCTCTCTGCAGAGGAGCACCCCCAGTCCCGTGCTGCAGCCCCGCGACCCCTCGTCCACACTTGAAAAGCAGATTGGTGCTAATGCCCACGGCGCTGGGAGCAGAAGCCTTGCCCTGGCCCCCGCAGGTAACGCCCCTCCTGTTTCCTACCTTCAGGACTTGGCTGTGGCTGCTCTTAAGGCAGGAGGGCCGGGGTGCTGGGAACGCAACACGGCTTCCTGGGGTGATCATGGGGGCTGCTGCCCCGAACCACCAGGCCTCGTTACTGACACCCTTTCCTGCATCCCACCGGCTGGGTTGCGGATCGGGCTCAGTTGCAGCCATCGCGGCCTAGTGCCTGCGTGTCCCAACACTGACACCTTGTGCTTGGGCGTATTAATTCAGCCCATGAGGTCGGCCCCAGCGCTGTCTGGGGCTCCTCTACTCACAGCCTGACTCAGGATCAGCTCCACACACAGCAGTGCCCAATGGCACATGACCGGGGGCCTCCATGCTAGTAGCGGCGTGGTTTCTGGTTTCTTCAGAAGCCTGACCAGACTGCTGTTAGCCTACTTTCTGCAAAGAGCCAGAGAGGACGCTGCTTTGGCTTTTGTCGACACTGCGGGCCAGTCTGTTGTGGAAGCCGCAGAGACGGCATGTCAGCGAGCATGGCTGTGTGCCAGTAACACTCGACTTACAATAGCGCAGGGTGCCAGACCCCAGGCTGGTTTGCTGGCCCGTGTTGACACGTGGTGTGATGTGGCCGCTACTACTTTAGGAGTAAAAAGTAAAATGGCCGGGCGCGGTGGCTGACTCCTGTAACCCCAGCACCCTGGGAGGCTGAGGAGGGAGGATCACCTGAGGACAGGAGTTCGAGACCAACCTGGCCAACATGGTGAAACCCCGTCTCTACTGAAAGTACAAAAATTAGCCGGGTGTGGTGGCGGGCTTCTGTAATCCCAGCCACTCGGGAGGCTGAGGCACGAGAATCACTTGATCCTGGGAGGTAGAGGTTGCAGTGAGCTGAGATCGCGCCACGGCACTCCAGCCTGAGCAAAAAGAGTACAACTCCATCTCAAACACAAAACAACAACAAAACGAGTAAAGTGCCGCCATTGAGATAGGAGGCTCTAGGGAGGCTGGGCAGGCTTCACAGTTGGCCACGTGAGGGCCCCGGAGAGGCCGCCGAAGCCTGGGCAGCTCTGCCCTCACAGGGTTGGGTTGTGCCCTTGGGATGAGGTCGGCTTTGCAAGAGGCAGTGACAGTTTCGGGAGGTTTTCAACTGGGTGGCAAACAGCCAACTCCAGAAGCGCCTCACCGCGCCCCTGCACTGAGGCCTCATTGGCAGAAGCAGAGAGGCTGCCCTTTGTCCTTGGGTGGTCATGGAAGTGCACCACTCATCGTGGGCTGGGAAGCGCGGCCGCAGCCTCCAGGGCGGCCATAGCTTGGAGCGTTCAAGCTGAGTTGTCCTCTGAGAACAGGTGGGAGGGAGGCCCCTCAGCCTTGGGCTTGCCTCATGGTGTCTCTGAGATCACGGGGCCAGAGAGCAACTCCCTCAGAGGAAGCCCAGCTCAGCGGGGAGCCCGCACCAGGAGGCTTCTTGGGAGGCAGCATCTCAGCCGGGACCGGCAGGACACAGGCAGCCCAGATGGCGGCATGAGGCACAGGGTCAATCCTGAGCCCTGAGCTTGCCCACAGAGCCTTCTGGTTCCATCCCAGAGGGGCCGTTTTCAGACTCCAGCCCTGCTGCCCACTTCCCCGCCTCTCCTGGAGCCCACAGAGCTCCTGGAGGGTGGTGCTCCCACAGCCTGGCTTTTTCTTTGGCGCAGTGGGGCCCAGCATCCGCCCCTGTGGACTGAGCCCGTCCTGTGTTCCCTGACACCCCCATGTCCTTCCTGACAGGCTTCTCCTATGCTGGCTCGGTGGCCATCAGCGGGGCCTTGGCGGGCAGCCCGGCCTCCCTCACACCTGGAGCCGAGCCGGCCACCTTGGATGAGTCCTCCAGCTCTGGGAGCCTTTTTGCCACCGTGGGGTCCCGCAGCTCCACACCACAGCACCCCCTGCTGCTGGCACAGCCCCGGAACTCGCTCCCGGCCTCTCCCGCCCACCAGCTCTCCTCCAGTCCCCGGCTTGGTGGGGCTGCCCAGGGCCCGCTCCCCGAGGCCAGCAAGGGGGACTTGCCCTCAGACTCCGGTTTCTCAGATCCTGAGAGTGAGGCCAAGAGGAGGATCGTGTTCACCATCGCCGCGGGCGCGGGCAGTGCCAGACAGTCGCCCTCCAGCAAGCACAGCCCCCTGACCGCCAGCGCCCGTGGGGACTGCGTGCCGAGCCACGGGCAGGACAGCCGCAAGCGTGGGCGGCGGAAGCGAGCATCGACGGGGACGCCCAGCTTGAGCGCAGGCGTGTCCCCCAAGCGCCGAGCCCTGCCGTCCGTCGCTGGCCTTTTCACACAACCTTCGGGGTCTCCCCTCAACCTCAACTCCATGGTAAGGATGGGGACCAGCGGGGCTGGGGAGCATGGCCTGTGAAAGAAAGACCAGAGGGAATGGGGGGCTATGACTGAGTCTGGCCGTTGTCCACCATCTGCGGCCTGGCAGCCTGGGAGGAAGCGGCCGACAGCTGCCTGCAAGCTTCTTCATCCTTGGCTGTGGGGCCTTGGTGGGGGTGGCCACATGAGGAGGGGGTTTGGGGGGCTCTGGGATTGCGGGGTTGTGTGTGAGGACCAGGAGGAACCAGGATGGGGGCTGCACTGGCCACTGGGCAGGGCGTCAGTTTCCTCAGGAAACCCTGGGGTGCAGACAGGAGCCTCCTGGGGCCGTGGGGCTCTTGCCTTGGGGTCCCAGGTCTGTGGTGTATGCATCCGCTGTGTCTGTCTGCCCTCAGGTCAGTAACATCAACCAGCCCCTGGAGATTACAGCCATCTCGTCCCCCGAGACCTCCCTGAAGAGCTCCCCTGTGCCCTACCAGGACCACGACCAGCCCCCCGTGCTCAAGAAGGAGCGGCCTCTGAGCCAGACCAATGGGGCACACTACTCCCCGCTCACCTCGGACGAGGAGCCAGGCTCTGAGGATGAGCCCAGCAGCGCCCGGCGAGTCCAGGGGCCTGGAGGGGGGCAGGGCCTGGCAGCAGGGGCAGGAGGTGCCTGCTCACCGTGTGCATGTGTGGGTGGGGAGGACTGGCAGGCTCTGAGGGGGTGCCCTGGACGGGAGGGAGGCATCTGTTTAGTGAGGGGCCTCCCTGCAGGTCCTGGGCCCTTTTCCGGGCAGGGTTGGCCTCCCGGGCCATTCGCGGGGGGGGACACGAGCAGGGCCACCGGTTAGAAGAGGCAGGCCAAGGAGGAGCTGAGTGCAGCAGGAGGGAAGTTTCAGCAGTGACGCGTGTGGGGGTCTCATCCACATGTCTCACCCAGTGTATTGCAGTAGCTTTGTTACATAAAATTCATATATTATATTCTCCATTTAAAGTGTGCAACATTACCACTGCCTAAATCCAGAACCTTCCATCATGTTTTGAGAAAATCTCATCCCCTTGGAACACTCACTCCCCATCCCCTCCCCAGAGCCCTTGGCACCCCCCACCCCCCACCCTACTTTCTGTCTTCGTGAATCTGAGGGCTCTGGGGACCTCCTAGGAGCGCAATCACACAGGATGTGTCCTTTTGTGTCTGGCATCTCTCTCAGCATGACGTCCTCAAGGTGCATCCTCGGCCCCTTTCGTGGCTGGATGGTGCTCTGCCATCCATCCGCCCATTGCGCTGGGCTTGCTTACCCTTGGCGGTTGTGAGCAGCGCTGCTGTGGCCACGGGCGTGCATGTTTGTGTTCGGAAGCGAGTTTCCCGTTTCCTGGTGCCTGGACAGAGGTGCTGGGTGGCCCAGCCCCCTGTGCTCTCCAGCAGCCGCACCATTCCACCCTGCCACCACGGGTGCACGAGGGTCTGAGGTCCCCACATTGTCACCACACTGAATTTCTTGTTTTGATTCTACCCATCCGAATCGTTGTGAAATGATATAACGTTGTAGGGTTTTTTGCTTTTTTTTTTTTTGAGACACGGAGTCTTTTTTTTTTTTTTTTTGAGACGGAGTCTCGCTCCGTCGCCCAGCCTGGAGCACAGTGGCCGGATCTCAGCTCACTGCAAGCTCCGTCTCCCGGGTTCATGCCATTCTCCTGCTTCAGCCTCCCGAGTAGCTGGGACTACAGGTGCCCGCCACCTCGCCCGGCTAGTTTTTTGTATTTTTAGTAGAGGCGGGGTTTCACCGGGTTAGCCTGGATGGTCTCGATCTCCTGACCTCGTGATCCGCCCGTCTCGGCCTCCCAAAGTGCTGGGATTACAGGCTTGAGCCACTGCGCCCGGCGAGACACGGAGTCTTAATCTGTTGCCCAGGCTGGAGTGCGGTGGCGCGATCTTGGCTCACTGCAGCCTTCGCTCTCTGGGTTCAAGTGATTCTCCTGCCTCAGCCTCCTGAGTAGCTGCAGCTACAGGCACACACTACCAGCGTGCCTAGTTCGTTTGTTTGTTTTATAGAGACAGGGTTTTGCCATGTTGCCCAGGCTGGTCTCAAACTCCTGGCCTCAAGCATTCCGCCTCCCTCTGCCTCCCAGCGTGCCGGGATTATAGGCGTGCACCATCACAGCAGCCCTAAGTGTGCTTTTGCTGGTGGTCTAAGTTAGTTCATTTTGCTCCTTTCCCACATGTACGTGCACGTGTCACATAAAAAGCATTCTAGCACTTGGGTGCTCGTTTTGCATTGGGATTGCTCAGCTTAGTGGTTTCCAGGATCTTTGGGAATTCATGTGTTCCTGGTGTGTTTTTGGGACACTGGATCAAAGTGACCCCATGCAGTGTGTGGTTGGGTGTGGCTTCATGTGCTGACCTGCAATGCTGTGGCATTGTTTGCCACCTGTGGCACCAAGGTCTGAGGGGGGCAGGGAGATGGAGGTAGGGAGAGAGCTGTGTCTGGGATTCTCACACTTCTGTGTGCTGGGAAATGGCTTCTCCCATTCAGCTGCCATACCTAATCTCTTGGCCCCTTGTCCCAGCAGAGGCCCTGGAGCCCCTGCCAGGACAGTGCCTTTGTGGTGCAACGGGGGTGGATCCCAGGGCCCCGCCGCCCAGTCGAGGCCTGGCCCAGGGTGGCTGCACGCATCCCATCTGGGCCCGGTGCTTCTTGCTCACCGCCTCCCAAGCTCCCGGGGCTGTTGGCTTTCAGTATGTGTGTCGTTCTTAGCATACAACTGGGTTTCAAGCATTAATGACCTTTTTTTCTTAACAGAATTGAGAGAAAAATTGCAACAATCTCCTTAGAAAGCAAATCTCCCCCGAAAACCTTGGAAAATGGTGAGTAACAAGTGTTTTGGGGCGTGGCCAGGCCTGACCGTGCGGCCGTGGTGCCTGGTCAGTGCTGCTGACCCACTGGCTAGCCTGCTGCATAGTATCCTGCGTGGGTGCCAACACTGGGGCGCTGGGCTTCCAGAAGTGCCTCTGGGAGGCCCAGGGCCTCCGCACATGCGCCGTGCTCTCGCAATAGGTGGCTGACCTGCGGGGATCGCCACCTTGGGTCCCATTTCCTTTGCACCCTGGCCTTCCCCCCGAGTGGTGCCTGCTTTCATCCCCCGCCCTGCTTGCGTCCTCGGTGAAGTCCCTGACCTGCTCTGGGGCAGCCCTACCTTACCTCCCAGAGGCCTGCTGGCGTCAGCATTTTCCCCAGAGCTAAGGCAGAGCTCATCCTGCATGACCTTCTCTGAGATCCGCTTCAGTTGCCTCGGTCCTGTCCTCTGCCCTCCTGTCCCGTCCAGTCCCATCCCCTGCCATGTCATCCTGTGCTGTACCCCTCCTGTCCCATCCCATCTTGTCTGCTCCCATCCCCTTCCCTCCTGTCGTGTCCCTTCCTGTTCTTTTTGGCATCTTGAGTGTCTGTGGCCAGCCCTGCCTGCAGAGTTGCCTGTGCTGTGGCAGCAGCCCTGGTCAGCCTCGTGGGTAGCCCAGGCAGGTGCTCTGGGCTCACGACCTCTGCCTTTCCTCTGTGCCAGGTGGTGGCTTGGCGGGAAGGAAGCCCACGCCCGCGAGCGAGCCGGTCAACAACAGCAAGTGGAAGTCTACTTTCTCGCCCATCTCCGACATCGGCCTGGCCAAGTCTGCAGACAGCCCGCTGCAGGCCAGCTCCACCCTCAGCCAGAACTCCCTGTTCACGTTCCGGCCCGCCCTGGAGGAGCCCCCTGCCGATGCCAAGCTGGCCACCCACCCCAGGAAAGGCTTTCCTGGCTCTCTGTCGGGGGCTGACGGACTCAGCCCGAGCACCAACCCTGCCAACGGCTGCACCTTTGGCGGGGGCCTGGCCGCGGACCTGAGTTTACACAGCTTCAGCGATGGTGCTTCTCTTCCCCACAAGGGCCCCGAGGCGGCCGGCCTGAGCTCCCCGCTGAGCTTCCCCTCGCAGCGTGGCAAGGAGGCCTCGGACGCCAACCCTTTCCTGAGCAAGAGGCAGCTGGATGGCCTGGCTGGGCTGAAGGGCGAGGGCAGCCGCAGCAAGGAGGCAGGGGAGGGCGGCCTGCAG